GTATTATTTGTTTTATAAAATGATGTTTTATAAAATGATTTTGCTAATGACTGGTCATTAGCATTTGATAATGACCGGTCATTATCAAAATTACGTGTTAGGCAAATTAAAACCTGGTCATGTGTACGCTCTCAACCAATCATTTGATTATGATCCACATCATCATCTTATAAACATGATTATCGCCGAGTTGTAACATGTCGACTTACTGAAATTTCGAATTCACTAATCAGGAGATAAGTCATACTCTATCTTTCTACTTTTTAAGGTGAAGATGTGTAAACTGAAGATGTGTTTTCTTTATCGTTAATATGAGGTTGACTGAGCATTTTGTAGACATTTAATTAAAGATAATTGGAATTTTATTGTATTAATCGGTATGATAAATGGAATGTTACTTTGTGTATTATTATGAGATTTTTTCAGAGTTATCATAATATTCATTATGTAGATGGTCACTCATTACTTATCTTATTGATACTCTATAAAATATTTATATAGTTTCATTTTTACAATTATTACAGCCATGACTTACAAATTGCCTTTTTTGTTTTGTCTTACACAGTGTCACAATGGATGGACACTCAATATCTGACGGAAGTGATGAAACAAATATCTTAAAATATACCTAAACAGTGTAACAAAACGCTATGGTGTGCTAATGAATAAGAAGATGGGTACATGTAGTAACTAATTTTAGACCTAACTGTTGTTATCAAGATACTCCATGGAATCATTTCACATACTAATGACAATAATAAAGATTGTATATGCTACAGCAAATATATCTCCTAGTCTTTGTAAAAGTGACATAAGATATTCCACTTTCAGGAAGAAAAACATTGATTGGAATCTAGTCAATGATTTTCAGTCAGTTTTTACTAGAAAGTATGCACCAAATCGCGCCAAATGAGTTTTAAAATTCAAGTTTCTTTTCCCTCAGACACCCCCTGTCCGCGCAAGCACCACTGTCTATTTTACTCCATTATGTACCCCCCCCCCCCCCCATTTTATAAAGGATTGGCGCCCCTGCTTCAATGTGCACATCCCCTCTTGGATTTAAATGGAACTCGTCATAAATATAAAAAAACCTCCTCCTCCTGATGCACGATCTGTTCGAATTACGGAATAATGCTCTAAATTAAATAAGGGAGGGGAATGGTTGTTCAGCCATGTTTCCGAGATGACTGTCATTTGCAAGTAAAAGGATGTCATAACTCATATCCAGTCAAAAGAAGTCCCTGGTTTTTTTTCCAGTTAAGAAAATAATAAAAACAAGATATATAGTAAGACTCACAGTTTTATCATTTATTTATCAAATAATTATGTGATATGATTTATATAAAAAGCTATGCTTAGAAGTGGAAAATAAATAGATAAATATCTACAGGAAAATTGTCATCATTTTCATGGGTCTGTAACTACAGACAGTTCGATCTTCGGCGACTTATCTATGGTGGACCGATGTATGTGCAAATAATATTTATCTCATAAACTTATCTTATTATTAAAACCTTATGAGAGCAGATAATGTTTTTATATTTTCACCAATAAGAACTGATCACTGATATTAAAGCTTGAAGATCAACAAATAAGTTTTTAAATAATGTTTCATTTTTTTTCATTTCTCTCTGCCCAAAGGTCTTTAGAGGGCGTTCTAAAAAGATATGACAGGTTTGGAGTCGCGACAAGCGTCTGTTGGGGAAGTTGTCGCTCGTTGGCAAAGACGGTTTTGTGAAACACTTAGCAGACAAATCGAGCGACAGTGTTGAAATGTTGTTGATATTGTACTAATGACGGTTTGCGAAACAACCCCAAGATTATTTTTAATGCATCGTCAAATTCTCCCTCTTCTGTAATATAATGAATTGTAAAGAATATGAGAATGATTTATTTGATATTGTATACAATTAAAGGTAAAGACCAGTTATGGTCATGCGATTGCATTGTGAAAGAAACGTTGTGGAATCGATCAGAAAAGGTTGATCATCTAGCATCTAGCATCTGCAAGGTTCTGGAATCATCAAAATGATAAGAAATTTGGCCCATTCTTCGTAAAGTTACAAGCACTATACACAGAAAGATGTATATGGGACTACCCTATATCTCTCACAGACCATGAGAGGAACAAATTTACCAAATATATGAATTAGTAGGCGGTTTCCCGGCAAATTTGTTATCATCATGTATTGGTCAAAACATATTCTTTCACATAATTGATAATGAGAGCTTCCATTTTATTTTTTGAAATTGGGGCGTTTCCAATACTGGTCTTTACCTTTAATCCTAATTGTAGTTTATGTATTCTATGTTAATGGTTATTTTCAACAACTTTAAAATTCGTTTTATGATCCCTTTACTATTACACAGTGATTGCGATTGTCAATAATGTTATGTTACATGTGTTTAATGGGAATACAATTATTTGACTTGGTTTAATAAAAAGAATATTGACCGTCGTAAAGGTGCGTACATAGCAAAGATAATTTCTAGTAAACTCTTTTAAATGTGTTTACTTTTAAAGTTGTGTTTTATGAAAATTGTTTCATTCCTACCAGAGTTAGGAGAAAGAAAAAAGAGCCAAGGTTCATCTTATTCTAATTTCAGAACTAGATTCCATGTAGTTGCTGTGGGTGCTAGCCGCGGCGGCGGCGGTTGTGATGGTTTTGTGTGTGTGTTGTGGGGGGGGGGGGGGGCGAGGGGGGACGTGGCCCTCAATTTTACTGAGCTTTCGGTTTTCCATGATAAATTATAGAGGATAGCAATAATATTACTATATTTACATGTACATCCTGAATGTGTTCGATGCCTCACCCCGCTTGCTGGAGTCATGCGACTCCTTTCTGTTTCTCTCTGTTCTAAAATTACTTTCTTTTTTGCATATTACTGGCATCATTGCCCATGACGTGATAAAATGTTTATACGGACTTCCTCTCGGAACTACTTATATGGCCTTTATCCTCAAATATGACACATCCCTTCCTCTGATTTCTCTAATTACCTTAACAAAATACCACACAAAATCCAACAAAAAGAAAGCAAGGCAAAATATCAGAGTAACACACATAGGGAAATTTCCCATTCCCAGGCCTTTATTCTTCAAATATGACACATCCCTTCCTCAGATTTCTCTAATTAGTTTAACAAAATACCACAAAAAGAAAGCAAGGCAAACAATCAGAGTAACACACATAGGAAAATTCCCATTCCCAGGCCTTTATTCTTCAAATATGATACATCCCTTCCTCTGATTTCTCTAATTAGCTTAACAAAATACCACAAAAAAAAAGCCAACAAAAAGAAAGCAAGGCAAACAGTCAGAGTAACATACATAGGGAAATTTCCCATTCCCAGGCCTTTATTCTTCAAATATGACACATCCCTTCCTCAGATTTCTCTAATGTACCCCCCCCCCCCCCCCCTCCCCCCCCCCCCCCCCCCCCCCCCCCCCCCCCCCCTTCCCGGCTGCTATCGCCTCAAGCTTCTTTGCTTATGATAGTTGGCCTCTGCATTTATCTTGATTATTTTTACTTACCTCCATACTTTCAAGCTTTCAATTATGTATTTTTTTTTAAATTTTATTTGTGTGTATTATTAAAGTTGTCACTCTTGAGGTAAATCAATTATATTATATACTATTATTGTTATTTGAATGTTTTATATTTGATTTATCAATAATGCAGAAACATCTGCTAAAAATAAAAAAAAAATAAAAAAAAATTAGCTTAACAAAATAATACGACCAAAAAACCCAACAAAAAGAGAGCAAGGCAAACAATCAGAGTAACATACATAGGGAAATTTCCCATTGCATTCCCATTTATTGGTCGAAAACGAAACCTTACACAAACATGGGAACTACCAATCATATCCCTAATATGTATTTTTTTTAAAGTAGAAATATACGAGCCAATTAATTTCCATTCAAACCCTTGCTCATGTGACTAGCTATTAGTTTGTAGACAGGTTTTGTTTTTATTTTATTATTATTATTTGTTATTATTTAGACAGGTTTTCTTAATGCAGGCCCCAAAATGCGAAAAGGTATGGTGTATTTGGTTATTTAATTACAGTTTCAACATACAATTATCTACAAACAACTACGAATATTCATTTTAGGGGACTGCATAGGGGGATGGAAGATGTTGTTCCCTTGGCAGATGTGGTACTATTTTCACAAAATAATTATCATTATAAATTAAAATTAAAAATGATAATGATAATAATGAAACTAATAATGATTATGATAGTAATAGCAATAATAATAATGATAATAACAATAATAATAATGATAATGAATAAGATAATGATAATGATAATAATAATATTGAGGATTAGTAATTATAATCTTGATGATGCTTATGATGATAATGATATTGATGATAATAGTAATACTAATAAAAAATGATAGTGATGATTATCATATTTATTTAAAACAAAAATGATAAAACCTACTACTACTGTTAAAACTACTAATAATACTAATAATACAATTACAAAATAAAAATATACTAATATACAAATATAAAAATAAAAATTCACTCGTCACATTTATAACCAACCATCCAATTTGTTAAAATATATCAAACGATTTCTCCTGATTGTGTCTCACAATCTATACCAAACGTGTACATATAATTCATAAGTTTGAACAATAATTCTGGAACAACTAGTCTTCAGTGAATAAAATTCTAAATGAATCATTTGACACGGTAACCATCTTTCATTTTAGAAACACAATAATAAATGCCTACCCCAATTTTTTTTTTGAAGCTAGGTTGTCACCAACCCCAACACGCCGAGAACCTGCAGAGAAGTCGGGACAGGCCATCTTGACTCGATGACACATAACATGATGATAATGCATATAACACGTATTATACGGGATTCCCCGCCAGCAAGACAAGCACACGCACTCGTGAAAACACATTTACGCATGTTATACCCGCGCCCACGCCCACGCATGTTTATTGAGGAAAATATAATTTGTATAGTTTTGTTTTTGCAAGATTAGGATAAGCATGGGATTTTAACATCTGGATAATATGAAACTAAATATTTCAAAGTCCATTTGTATTTATACCACCGTTACAAATAGTCCACTGGAAGCACTTCAACATTGAACATCGCTGATAAAGAAGCTGGTTAACTTTGCATGCACGATACCTGACCATAGCTCTCTAAGTTTTCGAATGCAGGAGACAGTAGCTCGGTTGTAGACACAACATGGTGAATTAAACTGTGCTATCACGGAATTTGTCATCTGCCAGCAGCCAGGGTTTGCTTCTTATGTGCCACGCAAGACTTCCAAAGAGAACAACATGTCTAAGCAAGTAAGTCTCCATTGTATTAATATTTCAAGTCGATGGTTGATTGATAAATCTATTAAGGAGGATTTAGTGTGTTTCTTGTTGTTGATTATTAAAGTATGATTGATTGAATGATTTTAATTCCACGGAGGAGGTTTAGGGTGTTGTTGGTGTTGATCGATTGGTTGGTCGGTCAATTGGTTGGTTGATTAATTGATTTATTGATTGATTGAATGATGTATTGGTTGGTTGATTGGCTAGTGGGGGGGGGGGGGGGGTACTCACACATTAGGGCACACGGGTGTGTGCCGCTCTAATGGGTCAGTTTTCTACACAAAAATCCCTAGGTATGGGTCCCAATTTTAAAAATACCATTAAAAATGCGTCAAAATTTACAAAATTGTTTGCACGAAAAACAACCGAAACACACCCGAAATTGTGGCGAAAAAAGGGCCCAATTGAACGGCACACCCTATCCAAACCAAATCTGAGTACCCCAGCCCCGGGATTTATTGAAGGATTGATTATCAAATTGATTGGTTGATAGTTTAATTGATTGATCGTTTTAATTCAACTTTAATAGGAAGTTATGGGTTTAATTGTTGTTTGTCGGTATGTATGCATGTTTGTTCAGTTTTCGTTAAAAAAAACAAATTCAAGTTTACTATCGCCTATCGCCTTGATACTGTGGAGTTATTTCTCTCCTCATTTTCCACCCCTCTCTACCTTTCTCACCGTGTTTCTGTGTCTTTCTCCATCCCTCCCCCTCTCTCTGTGTATCTCTCTCTCTCTCTTTCGTATCAGGACAATAATAATAGACAATCTCATCCTTTCCCTAAGGACAATTACCCCAAGGACAATGACCCCTTAAGACAATTGCCAAAAAACATGATATGACGTGCGACTACCCTACCCAACCCCCCCCCCACACACACACACCAAAAAAATCCTATATAATTAGCTTTCTATTCCATTCTTGCTTCATCCTCCTCTCCCCCACCCCTTCCCTCTTTAGCTTATACATGTACATGTATATAATATAATGTTTTTTTTTTTTAAAACACAACTAGCTGAAGCAGCACTTTCCTTGGATAAAGAAGAATGGAAGCAGTACGAATACGTACGGTAGCATTAATGGATCTGACGACCAAATCGACGTACATCAACCATTACTTCCCACAACCCAGGACTGGACCAAACATGGACGTGACTGCCACCGCTGTGAATCTGATGCAGATGTCGCATGCGTGATCAACGAAGCGGACGACGTGAAGACGGTGGAGGATGTCCAGCAGAGTGTTGGACGAGGTGGTCGAGATCATGGTGGAAAACCTCAATCGTATTCTCGAGAGGGATGAAAAGATCGCGGATTTGGAAATATGTGCAGAAAACATTCGCCACAAAGTAAGTGTCAGTCTATATTGTAGGGGGGGGATCCTTCCTAGAGAGTGAAAGAGGGCTGAGGGGAAAAGGAGCGCGGGGGCAGAGAGAGAGAGAGAGAGAGAAAGAGAGAGGGTAGGGAGGGAGGGATAGAGAGAGAGAGAGAGAGAGAGAGAGGGTAGGGAGGGAGGGATAGAGAGAGAGAGAGGAGGGAGAGAGAGAGAGAGAGAGAGAGAGGTATGAAGGGAAGAGGGGGATAGGGGCAGTGAGATAGAGAGAGAGAGAGAGAGAGAGAGGGATGAAGGGAAGAGGGGGATAGGGGCAGTTAGATAGAGAGAGTGAGAGAGAGAGAGAAAGAGAGAGAGGGAGAGGAGGGAGGGAGAGAGAGGGAGGGATAGAGAGAGAGAGAGAGAGAGGAGAGAGAGAGGAGGGAGATAGAGAGAGAGAGAGAGAGAGAGAGGCTTAATTAAGAATCATCAAATCCCTTGTGTTCATTTCATGTTCGATTTAGCAAAAAGAGCTCTGAATTATATACTTCCATTTTGACACCCCTGCTCTGTAATCATATAATAATAATAATAAGATATTTGTATACCGCAAATTGCAAATTGCAAATTGCAAATTGTCTCTTTGCCGCTAATCATATGAATTTCATCAGGAGAAAAACCATGGAGACGAATACCCCACCTGCTATTTGTACTTCATTTCCAATGTGGGTCCATAGTCCAATCGTCATTCGTAGCAATGTTTATATCTTAGCCCCTTCACAAGCTATGACTGGAAAAGCAATAAAGTTCAAAGTCCTTAAAACCCACAATCAAATAGTATTTTTGCTGCATTGTGAGTGATCATTTTGATGTACATGTATTTTGTTCTGCTGTTTCAGGCTAAAGAACTACGTCGCGTGAGTAAAAAGCTATTGAGGAGATACTATTGGAGACGACACCGGTGCTCGATACTCCTCGCAGTGTTTGTGTTTTTCTGCTTGACAGTTGGTGCCGCGCTAGGCTGGATCTTTTTCGTTATGAAAGAGTAACTATTATTCATACAATGGCACTGTTTATTTACGTAGCTAGTGTTCAAGTGCGTGCTTGTAATAAGTAAATGGATGGTAAGGGAATTGTCTCTTCCTTCTTTCTCATTTTCTGTCTCTATTTTTTTGTTTCATTCTTCTATTCATTCAGTATTTATATAATCATTATTTTACTTTCTTTCGGGCCTGTCTGTCCGTCTGTCTGTCTGTTTGTTTGTTTGTCTTTCTATTCATCTCGCTGTCTTTCTTTCCTTCTTTTCACCCTATTTTCTACTACTCAGGCTCTGTCTCTCTATGTTTATATGTATTTTATGTAAATTATCATTATTATGTCATTCATATGTATTACATGTCTGTTTGATATGGTGATTGCACCACAGCCCTGTGCTTTAAGGGAATTTTCCCTCCTTCCTAGATTGTAAATATATATTCTATTACATTTTCTTCCGATCTGCTCTTATACTGACATTTTGTATTCACTTAATCTAAGGAGAGTAAATTCCCTTATTTATGAGTCATATTTCTAGTGATCACTTTCCTGATCAATCCAGTCCGTAGTATAGTGGAATCCATTCAAAATCGTGGTTTAATAACTCTTTTTTCAGAGAGGAATCATCCATTGTGAGAGTAGGTAATTAACATCAACTCCACGAGTCGATTTCTACTCCCAGACGCTTAGGGAGTGATTATGACTAGATAAACCCCTCAAAAAGGTTTAGAAACTCAAGTTTGATTGATTGTGTCTCTCTTGTTATGGCATTATCGTCGCTATGTTTAGTATCATTAGAGAGTATGTTTATTCGTCTTTGAAATGATATACCCTTTGTTATGATTAATGGAATGTGCATTACATCACATTAGGGGCAAGGCAAAAAGTGAAAGTTACAAGATGCACTGCTCTTGTTCAGCTCTGTGTTTGTTTTTTCTTTCGTTCATAAGGCTGTTGTGTAGTGCACTGCATAACAATACCAGTGCTTACCAGTGCATTTTGCAACTTTCACTTTTCACCCTTCCCTTTAATTAATATTGTTGATTGATCGATGTACTGCTTATCCCATGACTGCGAAATCATGACATACATTGCATCATTTTAAAGGTACTATGTCCCATTTGCAGGCCAAAAAAATTAAAAGGTTAAATTCCAACTGCATTTGAAAGATAATACTAATTTAGAACTTCCTTAAAAAAGGTGGGGCTTGAAAAATGTCTTAAAGTGGGAAAATAACGACTATTCGTTGTCAAATCGACTTTAGGGCTATAGAGCCAAAAGTAACAGTCTTGATTTTCAGACAATATTATTGTACCGAATGGTCATACGTTTTATGCTGCGCAAAGATTCAATCAGTTTAATCTTGGCCATCATAAGTGGTTTATTGATGTAGACAAATGCTCATGTACCCTTTACAACTCTTTTCATGTATGTTATTACCAAAGAAGAAAAAAGCCAGTCAGTCGATCACTCAATAGTGTCTGACAGTGAAGTCTAGCAAGTAAACGGGTTTCCTTACATAATTTGAATATGAGGACACTGCGAACGTTTAAATTCACAGATAGGACATACATGACATATTCATAATTCCTGCAAAGTTCTACAGCATTTGAGGTTGGCTGCAAAAGGGACATAGTATCTTTAAAGAGGAATAAACATACTTTCTAATGATACTAAACAAAGTGATAAATAGTCCACGACTCCACGACAAGAGATATATAATAAATCAAACTTCCAAAATATTGCGAGGGGTTAATCATTGTATGGGAGTGTCATGGTCGAGTGGTTTAAGGCGTTGACTGGAGATGCGAAGGTCGAGGGTTCGAATCCCGACACGGCACTAATACCCTTTGGCAAGATATTAACCTGCACTTGCTACTCTCCACCCAGGTGTTAAATGGGTACCCGGTAGGATGCTACCGTCATTGTTGGTCAAACAGTTTTTGAACGTCAAGTAACGCCTGGCTGGAATGCTCCCCAGGGAGTGGAGATGTGCACACAGTGTGTGCGGGCAAGCACTGAATCCAATGACTGGGTTAATAATATATTTGTAAAGCGCTTAGAGACATTTTGTGATAAGCGCTATATAAAAGCTAAATATAAATATTATTATTATATTATGGTTCCTGATAACTTAATTCTGTGCATTTTCCGGTCAGGGATCAATTTCAAGAAGCCCCTTTGTTGTCAGTGTCTGTATGTTCTTGCCACTATTATACACTAAACAATTTGCAACTGACTAACAGTACTTATACTATGTTTTAAAGAGTAATTAATTATCAGAATTATGTTTATACGAAAGGAAGTGTTAGTTTAGGGTCGTTTTCAAATGGAAAGCGGATATATTTGCCTGCATTCTATAAGATGTTATTGCTATCCACACTTTCACCTATAATCATCAACATTAATTGTGTATACATGATGGCATCCTATAGTGTTCTTAATCATAATAATATAACAAGAAAATTTTCAATAATAATTGAAATATAGTCACGGTTCTTACAAATGAATGTAGTATATTACAAATTGTCTGCAGTTGTGATTATGCAAATCTTTTTAGCAGCTTTGTAATTTCACTAGAAAAATAAAATTATATAGGCTACTGTGTATCGTCATAGCATTGTCACATCCGCTTTTCATATAAATCGAATGAAATAAAATTGTATCCCCTTTCTGTATAATGCATAATATTATCTCGACTTACAATGACCATGGGTTCTCATGGGGAATTTGAGACAGTTTGGGAGCTAAGCAAAAAACGAGGGTTACCAATCACCGAGGGCTTCCCTTGATAAGACTCGGGGGGGGGGGGGCATTCTGCAAGAATGTTCGGATGAGGGGAATTTATGTTGATTCCCTTTCCATACAAGGAGTGCATTAAACGTGCCTGTGAAAGTGAATTCAAACGGCCTTGCGTAGTACACTCCTTGTACGTAAAGGCAACCATCATAATTTTCCCTCACCTGAATACATTTTTTGACGAACGGCCTTCGAGCCTTATGAAGGCAAGCCCGATTAATATTTTCAGCTGCATGGTCCAGCAAGTTTCGCTGGTTCGAGATTTTTAAATACATTAATTGATAATGCTATCAATTTGGGTGTAGCGAACTATATATGACGCAGTGCATATAGAAACCGTCGAGCATATGCCTTTAACATTACACCTAAAACATATTGCGCCTTTAAATGTCTAGTAAAATGGAATGCAAGGCATCCGCATGGCAGACCGAGACAGACCGGGCGGGTCCAGGATTTTGTAAAAGAGGGGGCCTAATTTTCCACACAATTATTAGCTGACAAGCAAACAATCAAAGCAAAATATGAGAGAATGAGAAAAACACGAACAAGAATCACCTCAATTTTTTTTTTTTTTTTTTTTTTTTTTTTGGGGGGGGGGGGGGGGGCTCTTGCCTCTTGGAGTTGTGTAATCAAGGGGTATGTCACTTTGAATTCAAGGTGGAGGCACGGGTCGGAAGTGAGCTCCCCCCCCCCCCCCTCCCCCCGGTCGGTTAAATGACACTGCATCGTGATTTATAATGCCAACATAATTATACAACATGGCATATCGGCCGGGCGGTTGATACGGGTGTGGTAAGGCAGTCCGCACCTCCCGGAGTATATTCATCAAAAACTGAAAGGGCTTTCAGCAAACTTATCATGAAAAAGGATTACCGAACCGTTTAATCCGCACGCTATTGGGGTATTTGTAAGCACGTATAAACATTTATAAGGGAAAGATATGATGAACTACTTAATCTTTTACCCTAACCTGTCTTTTTTTCATTCACTTAGGTCCTACGTTCTATTTCATTTATCTCGTTATTAACCATGTCAAAGAAAATTGGACATCTGCAAAATTCATCACATCAAGTTGACTAAAATATGATACAATCCAAATCCCGGATCCAAACCTACTTGAAAGAATCGGAAAGGGTGGGAAAGAAGGTATGGGCCGGGGGGGGGGCAACGGAATCTATGACTCCTATATATACATGTATTATAGTCCCATCCCCGTAAGTCACTAGCCCCAACATGCCACTCCCTGTCGCTTGCAACACTGGACTGCATATAATTATATCCGTTAAACATGAGCTGGAAAAGCGGGTATTCCCCACGTACAGCTAACGCATATCAAAGCATTATTGCATCGTCGCGGCAGGGGTCGCAGCACACTGAATTGTAGTGGGCAAGGATAAATCGTTTAAGAAATACTCTATGAGGGAGCGCCGTAATGTAAATATTAATCTACAAAACCATATCGCACTCCGCTTTTATTGAATTCATAGTGTATTCAATCGTGGCTTTTATTACAATCGTACATTGAACATTCATTCGTACACCGTTGCAATGATTACAACGAAGACATTCGAGCTGGTAAACTAGCTAGGTGATTGCATGAAGAAATGGCCTGAATGCAGGAAGAAGGAAACGATAAACGGAGGAGGAGGAAGAGAAGAGGGAGAAGAACTTGTATATACGACCTTCTGGACGATCAGTATGCCGAAACAGGTACAGGGTTACAATATTATTTTCTCTCACTATGGCAATTTCGCTTGACGACTGTATACATTTGAGCGCGAGCGATATATAGGCAGCGAAAGTGAAATGCGAATACACGTACATTGATTGAGCATGCATGGCAGGATTTCAAGGTTTATATTGCCGCACGATCTACAACCAGTTCGTCCACCACCCAGTTGGTGTTTTCCCATATGGTCTACGCCTAGTCTGTCTACTATCCACATGGTCTAATAATCATTGACCAAAATTTAATGGGTAGTAGACTTATATCGGAGATTAGACCAAATGGCAATTTGCTTGATGGCCATTATACCAAATGATCAGCATACGAAATTACGTATTAGACTATGGGGATAGTAGACGGGCTTGGTGCAGACAGATTGGTAGATTGGTAGTAGATGAAGTACGTGAATAGACCAAACCAGTGGCGCCTACCGATATTTCACTCAATGGGGGGGGGGGGATGGGGGCGGAAGCATTTTTTTAAAACAACCAATTCCCCCTTGAGCAAAAAAAAGAAAGAAGAAATCCAGGGGGGGGGGGGGCCAATTATTATTTTTGGTTTAAAAAAGATTAAAATTAACGTAAACATCTTTTTTAAAACCTGTTTTTTGGTCGGGGCCGGGCCCCGTCAGCTCCCCCCCCCCCCCCCCCCCCCCCCCCCCCCCCCCCCCCCCCCCCCCCCCCCCCACCGTGGATCCGCCTCTGGATCAAACAGAATTTAATAATTAGACCAAATGGGTAGTAGACTTATATTGAAGATTAGACCAAATGGCTATTAGCTTAAATGGCTATTATGCATTATACCAAATAGACAAAATGACTATTAGACTATAGTAAACGGGCTGGGTGCAGAATAGATTGGTAGCAGAAGAAGTGGTTGTATAGACCAAACCGGTGGCGGATCCAGGATTTTACAATGGGGGGGGGGGGTGCTTTTCTTCTTCCTGTTTTAAAAAGGTTAACATTAACGTTACCCTCTTTAAAAAAAAAAACTATTTTGGGCCGGGGGGCCGGGCCCATCGCCCGCCCCCCCCCCCCCCCCCCTCCCCCGTGGATCCTTCCCTGGACCAAACAGCATTTAATCGATGTCGTAACCTTTTTCTTGATAATATACTTCTGTTCTGTTCTATTGATGGTCTGAAATTTGACTATTCACTTTTACCTGTTTTTCGATTTTTCTCCCGTAATTACTAATAAATACTAGATAATCTCAAAATGTGTATTTGCTTCTGCTTTTATAATCGTATATTGATTATGTGTTTCTATACCCTAGGCATTTTCAGTTAGTTATTTGTATTTTTATTTCGCTTTTTAGAATTGATTATTTGCATAATTATTGATGCATTTTCAGTGATTACTTTGTAACTTATTTATTTCTATATGATGTATACCCCTTATATTTCTTTCTTAGCATGTACATGTGTATTGAAAACAATCCAAAATAGCGGACTTCATTTGAATATATTGGATTTAAATTTGACTTGAATTGAATTTGATTGATGATGACGCAATGGGGAGGGTCAAAGGCGTCGATACTGGGAGGGAGAGGGTGAGGGTGGGGTGTAGAATTGCAGATGGATATGAAGTTTATTTACACCCTCCATCCCATCCTGATACATCAATACATATAAATATATACATGATACACACTTATTAAGGGGAGGGGTTGACTGAGAGAGAGAGAGGGATGGGCGGGGCGGTCGAGAGACGAACAGAGAGTGAGAGACCGAGCTAAAGATAACTTGCGCAAGAAAGAGAGAGAGGGAGAGAGAGAGAGAGGGGGGGTGGGGAGAGAGAGAGAGAGAGGGAGGGGGGGGGGAGGTGTGATATAGACTGACAGAGTGAAGATTGGGAATTAAAAATGAACCACCGAGCAAAATAGATGATAGCGAGACACAAGCAAATGGAGAAAGGAAGGGAGGGAAAGAGGGAGGGAGGGAGAGAGAGAGAGAGAGAGAGAGAAAAGTAAAGCTTCAAAAGGGCCAAAGTCAAATACCATGCTTAGTTTTTGAGTTGCCTGCCACTACCACACAAACTAAGCACACCTTGTTCATTCGAAAGATTTTGTCATAATACACAATATTTCAGAAGTGTTTTAAATGTTATTTTAGCGAACACCCCTAAATCAGATGGGGCTCCCCAAAAAGAGGCCCTTTCGACGAAAATAGTATTTTGTATATTATATTTTAAGGAAACCTCTAACCACCATGAATTTGGTGTTGGATGAATGAAAATTAAATTATCTACATTTTGATACCAATTTTAACAAAATTAGGAATAATTAAAAAACATAAATTGAAGTAAAACACATAATTTTTGTTATTTTTTTTCTTCAAAATATTGAATTATATCAAAAACCGTTATTTTCCATATATCAAAATCGGAGAGGTGCCATTTTTGTAACTTTCGGAAATTTGCCCATGTACATCGACAATATCCTGTGCGAAAGAGAAGCCTAGGCCTATTTTTCTTTTCAGTGAAAAGTTATAGCAACCCAAAGTATTTTAAAAGAGCACAAACAATCCTTAGATTATGCATTCCATCTCATTCAGTAGTAGAACACATTATTGAGTTTGAAAAGCACTTTCTGGTCAAGAATGGGAGAAGAATCCAACTACATACAAAGGAGTTAATACTGAATAGAGATTCTAGCTATACACTGTAACATTTCTTTGCTCCAGTGGTCTCGAGGCAGCAGACAGCAAGAAATTGTGTCACGATAGTGTTTCTTAGAAGCTTTTACGAGATAAAACTCACACTCTCTACAATTTTATACAAAAAAGGTTGTTTTGGGAACTACTTATATCTATCTATCGGATGGGGTGCAGGGGGAGCCTTCGCCGGTAGTCTTGCGGGGGGGGGGGACTGCCAATGTCCATGATTCCTATTAAAAACATCACAGAGAACAAAAGAAGTACTAATCAATTGCCTTCGGCAATTTCTGAACTATACTAAATGTCCAATACATTTGTCCAGTTAATATACCGTAATACTGGCCAAAATGAGAGGGAAAAGATATCTACAAAAAAGCACCTTTTCGGCTCAAATTTACATTTCACACACTACATAACTCAATGAAATTGATATAACCTTGAAGGTATTTTGATTATTGATCTTTTTACACCAAGTCCATAATGATTAGAGGTTCTACTCAAAAGTTATCTGTAAACCTCGATGAAGTATTAAAAGTTGTAAACACACCAAACATGTCCTCAATACACTAGTACACGTTTATGCATACAGTTCATACACATGTGGACAAAAATGTAGTTTTTGTGGAAATCAAATCAATAACTTTGAGTTGCTATTACTTTTCATTGAAAAGAGATATATGCCTCTCCTGTGCACAGGATATTAACCATGTACATGGGCAAGTTCCCGGAAAGTTACACAAATGGCTCATCTCCAATTTTGATATATGGGAAATTAAGGTTTTTGGTATAATTCATGCATATTTCGAGAAAAAATCACCCCCCCCCCCCCCCCCCCCCCCAAAAAAAAAAGAGAGAAAAAAGAAGAAAAAATATTTTAAAAAATCATGTTTTTTACTTAAATTTTCGATGTTAAATAATCCAGATTCCGTTGATATTGGTTTCAAAATGTAGATAATTTAATTTTCCAAATTCATGGTGGTTCAAGGTTTCCTTAAAATATTATACACAATAAAATATTTTTCGTCAAAATGGCCTCTTTTGTTGGACGCCCCCTCCAATTTAGGAGTGTCCGTTACAAAATTTTAGAAAAACACCTCTGAAATATTGTGTGCTGAGTTTGTGTGGTAGTGGCAGGCAAACCCCTCTTTCTGACATTGGCCCTCCGCTTATAGGGGAAAGGCGGAGTAAAAGGTCGGGAGAAGGAGAGAAAGAGATAGAGTGGGGTTTTTTTTTGGGGGGGGGGGGAGGGGGGGGGAGGGAGGGGGAGGGAGGGGTGGGGGTTGCTTATAGTTAATGCTTATAATTATAAGTTGAATGTTCGTTTGAGTTTAGTAACAGTATTCTTCATATTAAGATGAACTTCTCTTTAACCTAAACAAATCCTTCAGAAACCAAGCAGTGTCCAAAACCAGGAGAACACCGCGAAGGAATACAAGAAACTCCCTTCATGTACGATTGCGAATGAACAACCACATGACCATGGCTCGACCACGTCACGCCTTGACGAAAAAAAGTCGTCCAGACGAAAATGGCGACTAAAGCCGAACCAACGCGCCAAAAAGAAGTCGGACACCAGCGATCACCAGCAGGCTGAGGTGTTGGTGTCCTGCGTATCAAAAGAGGTCAGACTTGAAAAGCTACAAAAGGACGTCGACGAGGTGGTTGAGATCGTGCGTGGGAACGTCGAGGGAATCTTGGAGAGGGAAGGAAAGGTAGAAGATCTGGAGATAGCGGCTGAGAGATTACATGATGCGGTGTGTTAGGCTTTCGATTTCTATTTGACATGACCCTTAAAGCCCCAACTGCACTACTTATAGCTGCTCCCTCAATATAGCAAAAACTGACTAATCGGTGACCATTGGTCTCCCATGGTCCCCTTTTTCATGTTAATTGAGAGCTGACTTGAAGAGATAACCACCTGTTGGTGACCACGGTGGGAGGTCTAATCCCTCCCTGGCAAAACTAGTGCAGAGGGGCTTTAGAGTAACTAAAATTAGCTGTATGGTTGCTCAAACCCAAGACCCACACTAAACATTTGTTTTTCAAGCCCAGCAGACTTTTCCTTATTATTGTAAATGGATTTAAGCGAGAAACATGCATGGAAAACAATGAATACAAGCCCCTTCCTGAAAAGGTCATCAGCCCTCTTCTTCACCCCACGTTCCCCCCCCCCTTTTTTTTTGTTGTTGCCGGGGATGGTTGATGTCTTCCATGTGAGCCCATGGATCTGCCACTGATTACTAACGTTGTGATTTAAATTGCTTTCCCAAATATTTTGCACTCGCATAAACACGTTGGCTGTTGAATAATGTCTTTAAAGACCGTCAACACTACTGGGCCAGAAAGGATGTGCTTTATCTTGTTTCTTTTTTCTCATACCATTGCTAATTACTTTTTTGTTGATCTTAACTTATTCTCTACAGTTTTTCATCTTTATTCATTATGTTCCGCTATGCTTCACCTAGTGTTTGGAGCTCAAGAAAACTGGAACGGGTGCTTTATCTTGTTTCTTTATTATCATACTATTGCTAATCTTGCTACATGCTGCTTTGTTGATCTTAACTTATTCTCTACAGTTTTTTCTTATTCTTCTTTATTTCTTGTGTTCCACTTTGCATCACCCAGGGTTTGGAGTTCAAAAAAACTGGAAGAGGTGTGAGATGGAAATACTGGTGGAACAACAATCGCTGCTGCATACGTTTCCTAATTGGTATGATAACATTTGTCATATTTATCAGTCTCGTCGCTGGGCTCACCAAGAGGTTTGGAACCCATGACCTTACGAGCGCTACACTCATGACGAACGTTACCACTGAACCACTCTTTAACGTCTCATCTAGTGTTATGCCAACACAAATAACACCGAGTGTGATAGATAGAAATAGAACGGGATTCCCACCCGATCGAAGAGGATTGTTAATCTAGATGTTCGACCACAACAGGACGAGTTCGGTATTTAGCTAAGAGGTTTCGCACCAATGACGAACGTAACCACTGAACCATTAATTCGACTAACGTCTCGACTAGTCTTATGGAAATATTTTATTGTCTGGCGAGTTTAACAGGCTGCCTCCCGACATTTTAGATTACTATCTCCTGTGGATGTGTTCGATATATTCTTTGAAATGACTCATTTAGAAAATATATCTCATGTTGGGGATGTTAATTATTTCCCACATATTTGATGTTATGTACATAACCGCAAGCTTCCATTTAATGAGTAAACTTGGTTTATGTAGAACCTTATGGTGTCAGCTATCAGAAAAATTGAAATAATGCTCGTTGATTTTGAAAAAAAATAATACAAGTAACATATTTTATTCACATTTTTTTTTGCAAATCTGTAAATAGCAATGGTGATTTTAATGAAGTACTAGCTATTGTAAGCACTTCCAGTACTATTGTTATTTAAGACTTCGCTAACAATTATACGTTGCTTTGAAGAATTATAACTACCTGTGTGTGTACATAAGGACATTAAAAAGATAAAATAAGTGACCACCGAAAACAAGTTCTACAACGCAAATTTGTATGTGTAATTGGATGTTGGCCATATACTAATCATTAAAGACAGTTGGCCTTTATATTTTGGTGAGCACTATGGATATAGGTTTTTCCATAAAAAGATTTCTGGTAGTATCATGTGTATAATTGTAATGCTATTACATATTCATACTTTTCTTGAATAACGCAATTGTCATCATACTTCCTATTGAAACTGACAATTTCATGTTGTTCCTACACGTCTCCTTTTTCGATTAGTGTGAAATACTTTCATTGCAATGCTGTGATATAAATCTGTGTTGGAAAATGAGTAGAATCGTCATAATTTGTGATCCGGGTAGGGCCAGAAATAAGGATGAAGGTTTTGGTTTCACTAAAAGCAGTACAAGTTGGGAAAACTATTTCTTGGCAACCAGTAACATGCTACTTCTGTTGAGTTTCCTTGTATCTTATCAAGGAGGGGGAGAAATTAAAGAGGAAAGAAGGAGAAGATGACGATGGTGAAGAAGCAGAAGAGGAGCCTGCTACCCAAAGAAAATGCAATACTCTAGATTGAAGACGGATTCATTTAAATTAGATGTTTTTTACGTTTTCTAAATTTCATTGTTTACTTTCTGGGAATGTTTTAGAGTGCTCGCACAAATATTTGTCTTTCTGTGTTTGTAATGGTGATTGTCTTAAGCTTGGTATAAGACATATGTTTATGTCTAAAATCGATTGTTAGAATAAAATTTCTGTTGCTGAGGCTGAATTATTCTATGAAGAATTATCATTTTCATTGTTACATCCATGTCTAAACAAACATCCCTTTACGATGATACAAACATAATACAATGGATATAAAGGAGTATACAAGTTTAACACACAAACGTTTATTGAAATATACAAAATACACATTAATAATCTGTTATATGTGATGACTAAAGGAACAAGAGGCACTTGAGCAAGTGGAAATACAATTACCAGATGGTTGATTCAATGTATAACTAAAGCACTGTAATGTATTACAGCATTTTATCCCAGTGTTGTCACTACATATTGACTTTGTGTACACATGAGAGTTTCACAAGAAAAAAGGGTAATTTTCAGGGATGTTTGCGGACTTGAGAAAAAGGGATACTTATTTCTGTTTTAAAGAGCAAAACATTTCAAACAAGGGTAACAAATTTCAGAGAGGAACATGCGACTCATATCGAATGAGGCAAATTTCGTGAAAAATAGGGTATTTTTTTAAAATTTGTACTGGATGCGCCCAAAATAAGGTTATATTTTGTACCTGTTTTTAGGGGAAAATGGGCATATTTTGTAGAAAATGTTCTTGAAAGTCTGCAAAAGGGGGGGGGGGGGGGAACATTTTTGAAACTGCTAACAATCACTCGTTACCCCCCTTTGAATATGAAGCATCATCACCGGGCATATTCAACAAATAATGATGAGAAAGAGTTAAAGGAAACTCGACTCGCCCCTATTCTTAGTTTCTTACATACAAACAATACAACATATATTTACAGTAAGCTATTTTTTACTCCTAACAGCCATGAAAGGAATAACATAAAATGAAAATGAAATTTTAAGATGTAAATAAACTTTAAATATTAAATATCAAAGTGGTTTGTAATCAAAGCGAAACATCATGAATGAAAATATGAAATAATTTTGACTCCAAATATGAGAAGAACAGCAGATTTGTTACATTTCAACAAGCAAGTAAGGCACTTTTCAAGGGTAACAGTGTTCACCGTATCTTAATAACAATATTGTTATTGTCCACTTTCTCTCGCTCTCGTCAACACAAAACTTGAATTTGTCCTACATGAAATGCTGGTTCTTGCTCAAACGGGAATCAACTGTTTTCCAAGAAATTCTGCTCACATGACAAGGTCTAGCAAATAATGTTCAGACAGCTCAACAAATATAATCACACGTCTAGTCCAAATGTCTTAATGCTTGAAAGAAAACCGATTCAGGAAGGAGAGGAGTTGAAATGCTTTGTCATTGTTTTGATTTTCACTTCCTCTCTTTTATTCCCCTTTTTGTTTTACGTATGCAGGATATTCTGTTTATTCCACTTTGAGTTACAGGTCCGGGTCCAACCTGGGGTTCGCCAAGTGAAAATGAATATCTTGTATGTTCAAGGAAATAAACCTCATGATTTTTCAGTGTTGACCGGTAGAAAGTCCTTTGGCCGTTATTCAAAATCAAACCTGAGCTATGTCAAGTAAAAATAAATATCTTTTGAAATCTAGAAAATGAAGTTTAGTTTCGCAAGATTGAGTGATAGAAAGTCCTGTTTCTGTTTAAAAAACAAATTATTAATGGATCATTCAGAAGTTACATACATGTACTGCTATAAAACCGAATAATACATGTATATAATTCACCATTCATCTGTTTTTCTCTTCTTTAATGTAGGGTTATGAGGGCAAATCCTTTTTAAATCCCCTTTTGTTACCAGTGACTCTCAAACCTGGGTCTTGCAAACTGAAACTGATTATTGTGAAAGTTACAGGAAATGAGGTGTAAGTTTTGGAGGGATCAGGGATAGAAAATCCTCTTTCTTTTTCTTTTTAAACAAAATCACACATCGATGAGTCATATTCAAAATTAACATGTCTGACATAATCATCATATGATCCTTATCTTGCTATTAGTGTCTATCTGTCTATCAATATTTTGAATTATTTTTTATATTGTTCACAGCGATTACATTTTGCAGATTAGACCCGTCAATGATGCCTAATAACCACAAAATCTTGAATCTCATCCACTGCAATCAACTTTGCCAATTTGATCCATTCCAAGTATATACCATGAATAACCAGTCGATTATTCCTACAGATCCACGTATCATTAAACTTATCAATAACAAGTGTCATAATATTTTAGCAAAGGTCACTCTTCACAAATCCAATGCACTAATTTCAGTAGCTTAAGTATATCAGGTATTGCAACTTGGTATTAACAGCAGGTTTATGAAACGGAGGCCAGTAGTGGACAATCCACAGGCTCAAAATTCACTGTTACAGGTAATACAAAGTTTTGGTTATGGGGTCACAAATTTGGTTCAAATGAACATATTTAAAGCATATTCGATTCTACAATAGATGATATTGAAGGTCCATCTTGCCAGGGTTTTGTCGACCAGAATACAACTTCTGGGGGTGTTTCACAAAACTTGTCATCAGTGACAATTGACAGTTTTTGTTACAAGCTACTGAAATCCTTGCTTCTAGTTGGTTAACAGCAGATTTGTCACTGATTTTTGTCATTTGTCATTGAAAAAGGGTTTGTGAAACACCCCCCTGGTGTCCACAGTTATTTGTGAAACACCCCCTGGTGTCCATAGTTATTTGTGAAACATCCCCCTGGTGTCCACAGTTATTGTCCGTAGATGGGGGCCATTATTCTTAGACCAGCGTGATCTTGGTCTTTGCCGTGTTGACCTGCCAAACGTTGAGCTCCTCGTACGCTTCGATGGCCTCCTCGTACTGGTCATTGGTGTAGCCCTTGGCCAGACAGGCCTGTCGCGCTTCGGTGTACTTGATACTGCGGCCGGACTGCTCGGAGATCACATCGCAGACGATGCGGTAGATCACGTCCTCAGCACGCTGTGGCCTGGTGGCAGAGAAAATTGAAAGGAATTGGGTAACTTTGTCTCAGATTCTGAAACAAAATCCTAGATTTAGCTCATGCCTGCAATCACAATTATGAACCTTTAGGTCAGTCAGGAACCCCATGACTTTTACAAGCCGATCGCCTGTTTGATTATCAAGATATTTATAATTGGAAATTGTAATTTAAAAATTCAATTTCCTAACAGTTTGTTTAACACTACAGTCTATTGGGGAAATGAATATACCGGTCACTCATTGTTAAACGATGCCTTTAAGAAAGACACAGATTAGGAAAGGAATGATACAGAGACAATTCTGACATCACTATTTTAATGCAAAGTGATTTAAGTGTTAAATAACCAGAAATAGTGATATCAATAGAAAGTCATAGCCAGGAGTGATAAGTGAGCACTAAATTTTTTCTTCTTCAACAACGCTTTCGCATGGTGTCAAATACTCCAAATTTGTAGGGCGGAGTTCCTACTCTCATCAAATTTCAAGTGACTAAAAAAAAAAAAAAAATTCATGGCATTTGTCTGTAAGGGCCTTATTATCTTACCTTGCTGCGGTATCTGTTTGACCAATCAGAGACTCCTTGGACATCTCCATCAGACGCATCGCTTCGTTCACGTCCTCCTTATCAACGACCTCGATCAGACGCAGACGAGCCTGGGTTATTCACAAAGATCAGAGTGGAAATTAATAATTATCCTGCCAATGCTACAGTTCAAATTCTAAGTCATAGTTGTTGTTGTCATTGTTTTTTTGTGTCATCGGCGTTTCATTATGAATATTTACGCCTTTTGATTTTTTACTATTGGTAAATTCGAACTCTTCATACATCTCTAGTTTTTGATAATATTTTCTTTTCTTTTTCTTCTTCTTCTTTCCCTTCCTTAGAATTTGATTCATCATTTATATATTGGCATACAAAGAAAGAAGTTAATTTCATAATTTGACATAAGCTCTGTCCTAATTAGTTGTAGCATGGATAGCTGAAAAAGGCCAAATTGGTTCTTCTTTCAATTCAATTCGATTTCAATATCAATTTCACATTTGTGACTAAGGACACCTTTTCCTGTTTACTGAATGGAAACATGATCACAAAGTTGCTCTTATTTTGTCCAAATGAAATTATTATGTTAATTTGTACTTCATTCAGTTAAACCCAATGCTACGTCTACTTCTCATTAAACAGCCGATAACTCACATCATTGTCCAACTTCCTTTGTTCAATTCAAATTTAAACTGAGCTGAAACCCAGCGTCAGGTTTACATTTGAGTAGAATATGCAACAAAGTGTTTAACAAAGCGAACATATAACAATTTATTTGTGGAAGAACCCTCTATATACTATCAAGAAATAGAAAAATAAAAAAATTGAATATCATGATCACTTTATTCATCTCATTGCAGTTGTTTCCTCTGTTTTATAACCACAAAGCATGATTCGAAACGGAGAACTCACCAGAGCTGTTGCAAGTCGTAGAATACTAAGAAGGGTTCGGGCAGAGGTGAAGGTGGAATCCTTGCTCCCACGAGCCTCTTTACGCATCTCTACATACGCCCCTGTGATGTAGTCCGTTAGGGCCTCTGGGATAACTGGCTGTTTGGTCTTGCAGAGGGCGATGTAGCGCCTGGTAGAAATTGACAAAAAATGAACCAATTGACATAAATGCAATGCTTCTCAGGAGAAATTTCAGTTGTTGAAACATATTTGTGGCTCACACCCAGTAAATAAGATCGATTGATCGATCTGTAATTGAAAACAAGTCAGAAAATCAAGGAGCCAGCAGGATTTTAAACAAACAGGAAACTGCGGTAATCTGACCCGAATTTGTATATAATATTCATATTCCATTCTTGTTTACAAATGTCATTTTAAAAAAATCTTTGGAAATGATCATCCTGGCCAATTATTGGTAAGTAGCAAATTTTGCTAAATAAAACCAATTAGGAATCATCCAAGTTTACCTGGATCTGGGTTCAGAGAGATCATGTAAATCAAACGTTCCATTCAAGAAATATATCATTGACAAGGATTCCAAACTTGATCAAAATTTGAGTGAAGACGCTACAGCATTTTGAATGGAGGGGGAAGAAGAGTTGGCACGATTAAAACCGAGGTTCTCCAAAGACATGCGTCAGCAACAAATGCTCCAAGCTTCCTTTAGTCAAAGGTCTAGGATTATGGTTTTAGTTGCAATCTGGTTTTATGATGGATGTAGTGTTACTGCGTCCCATTTGCAGGCCCAAAAAAATGAAAAGGTTAAATTCCAACGGCATTTGAAAGATAATACTAATTTAGAACTTCCCTAAAAAAATGTACATTTCATGCTGCGCAAAGATTCAATCAGTTTAATTTTGGCCATTACAAGAAGTGGGTTATTGATGTAGACAAAATAATGATCATGTACCCTTTACAGCTTATTTTATGTATGTCATTACCAAAGAAGAAAAAAGCCAGTCAGTGAAGTCAGTGAAGTCAGTGAAGTCTAGCAAGTAAACGGGTTTCCTTGCGTAGTTTGAATATTACGACACTGCTAACGTTTCAATTTCACAGATAGGACATACCCAACATATTCATAATTCCTGCAAAGTTCTACAGAATTTGATGTTGGCTGCAAAAGGGACATAGTATCTTTAAAGACACATAGAAGTGGGCTCTCATGGGGAATCTAACACCATTTGGGTGTTTAACAACCAACAAACCTTATGTTATGCTTTGCACTTTCCACCCATTCCCCAGTATGGCAAAGTCATGATCTTCACCAAAGGCTTCTTGATAGCCCACGGTTTTGCTGTGAGCAGACTTCTATCCCCATTATAAATGGTATTTTGTCAAATTGTGGAGTGCCAGCTAATTATGGCCTTCTGCACATGGAAACTGACCACCCTCTCCCTTTTAACGTCAAGGAATATTTGTGGAGTGTCAGAAGTGTCAAGTCTGGCAGACAAGGCGCTATCAAGAACCCACTATCAGTATTATTATCTTAGATCCAAAGCTGTAACTTACCTCATAAGGTTCATGTGAAGTGGGTTCACCTGGGTGGGAGGTTGCTTGCAATGTTGATGAACATAGGTGATATGCTGGGCAAGCCTGCAACAAAGGCAAAATAAATCTCACATCATTATCATAAATAGATAAAGTTTGCAAAAATATGGTTCAAGTACAATTCCTATTTTATTGTGTACTTATATTGCATGCTACAGACAAGCACCTTCATGTAACAAAAAAAAGAAAGAAAGATTTTTCCTAGCTGCAAAATATGGGGCAAGGCTTTCATCCTTTCAACACTCATCTCCTTTGCAGACAGGAAATTGAAAATGGGAGTTCTTCATCTATTTTCCTTGAAATCTTTCCCTCCTATTACCCTTGAATATTTTCCCCCTTATTTTTTTTCTGATGTTACAAATTCTCACAGATACTACTAGGGTCTTCTTATCATCCTGGGCCAGTTTCATAAAACTTCTTATCAACAACAAGTGCTAAATTACTATGACAAATTTGCTCTCAGCCAATCAAATGCCACGATTTCAGTAGCTTATAACAGTTAGTTGTTACTTGTTATTGATAACGAGTTTTATGAAACAGGGCCCTGGGGAGTGTTTCACACGAACTAAGATCGACTTTTAAGTTGGATTTAACTACGGCAGGCCATTCATGCCACTAGTTGCTCTCCCTATTGGTCTCTCAATCATGACCTTTAGATAATATTTGAATGTCATAAAAGCTGAATTCTGTAGATGTGTGACCATGATTTGTATGTCTCTTGAGAGACCAATGTCAGTAAATGGTGAGAGCAAACAGTGGCATGAACGGCCTGCCATAGTTAAGTTCAACTTAAAGTCGATCTTAGTCTTTGTGAAACAGGGCCCAGGTTCCCAATAGTCCTTACCTCAAGTCATTCTCCCTATCAGCTTTGTCTTGGATGAGCCAGAGAACATCAAATCGAGAGAGGAGAGCTGCGGGAAGCTGGATGTTATGCTCCAGGGACTTCTTAGGGTTGTAGCGGCCGTAAGCAGGGTTGGCGGCGGCCAGGATGGACACTCGGGCATTCAGGGAGGTCATGATACCGGCCTGGTGGTGGTGGGATTTGAGAGAATGACGAGCTTGTAAGCATTGAAACTATCAATGATAATGATAGGCATTTCTATCCTGCAATCTATCTAGAAATTCTATTACGAGGCACACTAATTATTACCCCGGCTTTAGCCTAGCTGCCATTGCAGCGATCTAGCATTTCTTCATCCTAGCCTTCTCATCATATAACTGATATTCATGTAAGAATGACTCTAGAGGCATTGGGGATTCTTAATATCTGCAAACGGGAAGCCAATATTTGATGATGAATGCATCAGGTTTGGAGCAAGTTTGCACGGAACAAGATCAAACTTGTTCCACAACCAGATAAGAACCATATTGCCACAGCCACACAATACCCATAGCCACACACAGCGAACGATCAATGTTCATGACTTTCCAGAAGGATTCATTTATTCCACGACATTCCAGCTTTTTGATAACCATGGAAACATTGCTAAAGGTAAAGACCAGTTTTGGAAATGCCCCCCTCTCAATAGATGAAATGAAAGCTCTTATTACCAATCATGTGAAAGAATATGTTTTGACTTACACGTCATGATACAAATTTTGCCAGGAAACCGCCTACTAATTGATAGATTTGGTAAATTATTATATCGGATTGGATAGATATCGCATAGTCCCATATACATCTTTCTGTGTACAGTGCTTGTAACTTTACCAAGACTGGGCCAAATTTCTTATCATTTTGATGATTCCAGAACCTTGCAGTACACACCAATACCTACACTGTATATGCTAGATGATCAACCTTTTCACAATGTTTCTTTCATAATGTGATCGCATGACCAGAACTGGTCTATACCTTTAAATTTTTACTACATTACAAGTTGATAAAATCACCTTTGCAATAGAGATGGTCTGTTGTTCCATCACCTCGTGGATAGCCGTCCTGTCCGTCTCGTTCATCTTATCAAACTCGTCAATGCAACATACCCCCTCATCGGCCAGCACGAGGGCACCGCCTTCAAGGATCATCTCACCAGTGACAGGGTCCTTCATGACGGCAGCTGTGAGACCGACGCCCGATGACCCCCGACCCGTGGTGTACTGACCTGGATGAGGTAAAATGGATGTATGAATTTGACACAGTCTAAATGGAGGAATTGACAACTAAAGCCCATCTGCACTACTTGCGCCCTCTATATAGCAAACAATGCCTAATCAGTGTCTGTTGGTCCCCCATGATCCCCTTTCTCTAATGTTAATTGAGAGCTGGTTTGATGACATAACTACCTGTCAGTGACCTTGCAGGGAGGTCTCATCCCCCCCGGCCAAATGAGTGCAGACAGGCTTTACAGTGTCTTTTGTTTCAGAATGTTTATTATCATAAAAACCATTGCAGAAAAAAGTATGCCCATATTGTTGCAACGTAGACGATGGATGTTATATATAAAAAAAAAAAGGCTTTACAATTCTCAACTTGGTATTAAACATTGAATCAAATGCGAAATGAATATTTTCTCTCATAAATTCAGTTTTGTTGCTATGCCACTGACAAAAATCTTAAGAAACAATTGGTAAGAAAAAGAAAATCAAAAAGTGATCAATGTGACGAATATCTGTTCCTTGAGAATTTAAAGAAAAATCTTTTTCGCCAGTGAGAAAACACTTTCCAAATCTTCTTGGTTTCTTTCTTCTTTCAAATTCAGGAACCTGTTTGTTATTCATGCATAGATGTACTTACTCCTTGGTGCAAGACGGTCGATGTATCCTAGCAACTGAGACTTAGCCACACCAGGATCTCCCATCAGACAGATATTGATGTTTCCTTAAAATACCAAACAGAATGGAAACTCAGTTTAATGATAACAAAGATAATTTCTGGAAAGGTGACAAACTTCAGGGAGGTTTAAATCCTGAATAAGTACCTTTTTTTTAAACAGAGTGCTAAGTGTCGCCTTTTTCATTTTTTTACAAATAACAATGACTATAAAAAAACTTCCAAAATCTATATTTTCCCTTAAGAATTTTTTTTCAATCAAACATTCAACCTTAATTATTACTATTGCAAATATGTTTTTATACAACCGTTGTATAAGCTACATCTATTCCATCATAAAAATCTAAGAAAACCAAATTTAATGCTAATTGCAGAGGAACTCACATGATACGTCACTGTGTTGCAAGTTTGTGTTTCAATGATAACCACTTTACTTTAAAAATGTATAACGTGCCTCATTTTAATCGGATTTCATTCAAACTTTCAGAAATTTGTTTCTCTTATTTTCTGCTTTTATTAAAACCAACTTAATCTCATAGTGGACTTCCCCTTTATTAACTCTTATCATGCCACAGGTCTAATCCCCATTGTGCCAAGCCCCAATCCTCCCGTGCCAGCTTTATTTTGAGCTAATCTGATTAACGCAATGGTTCTATGAAAAGAGCATGCGAAACACAGCACAGTCCAATGAGCATGAACAATAACTGCTATTACGAATGCGTGCAAAAGCGCACATGGCAGTCAAGCAGTGGTTTGCTTGCATGTACAAAGCACTATCTTTCAGCAACAAATTCTCACCTCTGATCTTCATTCCTTTGGGAGACCTATCGACTCCACCGACCAGGAGAAGGAGAAGGGCTTTCTTGACATCATCCATGCCGTAGATCTCGGGGGCGATGGAGCTGGCAAGCTTCTCATAAAAATCTTCCTCTGTCAATGAAAAATGAAGATAACTTGGTATGATTGTAAAGATGGACAAGATAAATGCAATTTGGTCTCAAAGATGCCTCCACCTACATGTACATAAAACCTCCTCTATAAATGGAAAACATCAACACATATCTGTACCTTAGAAATTTGTTTATACAGAAGATAACATGATATGGTTGTAAAGATGAAAAAGATTAATGTCCAGGGTCTCAAAGATGCCTCAACCTACATGAGTCCTCTTCTGTTCAATGTTTAATATCAACACACATCGACAAAATGTTTTATTTAGAAGATAACATGATATGGTTTTAAAGGTGAAAGAGATGAATGCAACTGTGTCTCAAAGATGCCTCCACTTGCATAAATCCTCCTCTGTCTAATGTATCACATCAACACACACAACACAAAAATTGTTTTATACAGAAGACCAATGAAGAACATCAACACATACATTACGAATTGGTTTATTCAGAAGATAATGTGATATGGTTGTTAACAACAACAAGATAAATGTGACTGTGTCTCAAAGATGCCTCCACCTACATGAATTTTCGTCTGTTCAACAAAAAACATCAACTCACAACAACAACAAAATTGTTTATTCAGAAGACAACATGATAATGGTTGTAAAGATGAACAAGATAAATGCGACTATCTCAAAGATGCCTCTGCCTACATGAATATCCATTGATCAACAATCTTGTGACCTTTAACCTCTGACCTCCATGCCATAGATCTTGTGTTTAATGCATTTTTTGCTTGCAGTGCAAATGGAGCTAAAGAGTCTGAACTTACCTGCAATCTGTTGAACCTCCTCCTCTGATAGCTCTTCCATGGACATCTCTTCATCGTCTGCTTTGTTCATCTTGACGATACTCTGATGAAACAAGATGGGAGATTAAATTAGTGCCGTCATCAATATTGAGCATTACATATATACAGTATCCTACAAAAAGATTTTTTTTTAAATTCTAAAGTAACCTCTTACAATAGTGTACTAATTAGCAATGATAGAGACATTATTTGTGATATGCGCATCAGAGCAAACATTTTTTAAGCTTAAAACTAGCGTCAGATTTAAACTTGAGCAGCCACAGAGGACACTGACATGTGTATCCATGAAGGTCTCTCAGAGCAGACCTTGATACATCAAATCAGCTCCCAATTAACATAAGAAAAAGGGGATCATGAGGGACCAACAGGTACCGCTAAGGCATTGTTGGCTATATAGAGGGCGCAAGTAGCCTTAAGTAGTTCAGTGGGGCTTTAAAACTAGCCTCAGATTTGAACTTGGGCGGCACAAGGGCCACAGAGGATCGCTCAAAGGCCACCACTCACATGTGCATCCATGAAGGTCTCTGAGAGCAGACCCTGAGACATCTGCCTGAACCCTGTCCTCAGCATTGGAAGGAACACGCCGGTCACGCTGACGTGATCGCCGGGCTTGCACAGGCGCGTCGTCTCGCCCCTCGCGTAGATCGTCATGCTGCGGGGGATGTTCCCGACAGGAACCTGGTCGCTCTGCTCCTGTATCTTGACCTCCTGGAACTTGACGAACTTTGACCCTCGGGTCTGGAGGTAGAGACGACCACCGGATCTAGAAAAAGTAACAGTAATGAAATTTGTAATACACATTAGGACGGGACGTAAACTACCGATTATTATTATCCGACTTCCTGGAATTTTACGAACTTTGACCCTCGGGTCTGGAGGTAGAGACGACCACCGGATCTTAAACAAGAAGTGACAGAAAACAATAATGGTCTTTGTAACACACACATTATGACGAGGACGCACACCCAAATAAACTGACACAATTCTGCTGCATCGACCCCCAAGTCATCTGTCTCTAAAAATCCCCACAAAATTTTCCATACAAGACTATTTGACCACAGACTTAAATATATACTTACTTGTTTGTTGTACACTCTTGGCTGGGGCATGTCAAAAGAGGCATGAACATTGGGGAATTGATCTGAAACGAGTAGGGAAATAGAATAACTTAATACAGATTACCTGTCTTAAAGAACACTGTACAAAACTACACAGAACAGGCAAATGAACACATAATTGTATTGCAATTGACATGAAATTAACATGGAATGGACATGTATGTAGCACAAAATCAACACTGTATATTTGTTTAGGTCGCATTGGAGACCATTTTTTTCTTCACTGGCCCATGGGTATTGCTTTTTTTTGTGTACAGGGCTCCAAAAATACAGAACAAGCAAATATTTTAGTGGTATTAATGAGGAATCTATGAGCTTTGGAGATTACAAGTCCCTAGAAAAGGACTTCTTGCCCTTCCACTTACCGGTTGGTATGTCTCAGCACCGCACTGGTCACACGTGTACGTAGCAACGGTCATCATGGGCTTGACCTCTGTTGACCTGGTCACGATACCCCTGACCTGGACTAGCTTGCCGATGCGGCTGGCCTTAATGTCACGAACAGAGAGGGACTTCTGTTGTGAGGGTATCTTGAAGTACAGCTCACTGTAAAAGAAATCAAGATATCAGCCATTACAATATGAAATGCCTTCTTCATGCTGGCTCATATCCATTTTTTTCACTAGCCCATGGGTACTGCTTTTTTCTTCTGTATACAGGGCTTCAAAAATAAAGAACAAGCAAATATTTTAGTGATATTAATGAGGTTGTCATGGGATTCCTAACTGACCTACAGGTTTATAATAATAATTGTAGCATGAGCTAAATCCAGGATATTGTTTTAGAATCTGAGACAAAGTTACTGAGTCATTTTGAGGCGATATAACTTACTATCTTCTCATGAGCTCAGCAGGGAACTGATTCCTTGCGTCGCGAGGCTGCTCTGCGTTTGGTCCTCTCACCCTCTGCTCCATCAGAAGACGATGCTCGATGTAGACATCCAACGCATCCTTGTGGATGACCTTCGAGGGGACAAGAGAAACATTAAGAAAATTTTGATCTTTCTAAAAAGTTAGTTGATGATGTATAAAAAGAAATTTGTGGCATTTTTCTTCTCAAGAATCACCTTCAGGTGATGGAATGTGCATTTCAGCAGACTTGGGTTAAAGGCAATTCTAGATTATTAATCATCTAGTATAGTGAGGGGTTCCGATCAGTACGATCAAAAGAAACTACAACAATCTTATAGGAAATCACATTCAATGAAAACCCTTGGTTGGTTGGTTGGTTTTATTTTCCGCATAAAAATTCAATACATACAAGAATACAATTTACAAATAATACAAATCAAGAATTAAAAAACGGCTGGAAAGCTCTATTCAGAGCCATTATTAAAATGGCTCTGTTCTTCCTAGAGGTCCAATCTATTGCTTGAGCAGTTGAAGTGATTACCTTGATTAACTGAGCAATTGTACAGCTACATGTATCATATCTTTGTAGTATTGAATACATTGGTATGAACTGGTTTGAATAAATAAAGGTTACTTCATCAAGTTCATATTATGAAGTGCCACCGCCTTTAATAAAGCAGGTTTGCTACTTTTTTTATTCTTTTACTAGCAGAACACAGATTGGAGCACAAACCATTCTACATCCAATATAAGAGATACCGTCAGTCTTCAAGTTATAAGCATCAAGACCCTCATGGCTTTTAGCAGACAATACAAAAAGTAAAAGACTTGTTAAAAAAAAATAATAATAATAATAATAATTACTAAAAAAACAAAATTAAAAAAATTGAGACAAAAATCCCACCTCCTTTTGTCTGTAGTCGGGCAGAAGATCATGCACAGCATCAGCGAAGAGCTGGATGTAGCGTCGGGTGTTCTCAATGATGGCTTCCGCCAGCTCTGGGTCGTGCTCGGACACATCGTCGAGATCGATGGTGACGGCCACTTGCTCTCTGTGTGCAATGCTCACCTGAATTACACATCAATGCAAAAGGGCCATTCCATGGTAACTCGCGTTACACTTAATGGGTACATTGACACGATAATGTGCCTATATCTTTAGAACTGCTAGGATCTACAAGATACTTTTTTCAAACATGGACAGGGTAGATATAGAACAACTGAATGAAACAAAAAAGAATATTGAAGAACAAACATTTTTAGATTCTTGGATTATTGAATTTCGGTAACTCGCGTTACAAAAAAAGGACATGGTCAATTCTACAAGACCCTCTTTTCTCCTCATACTAGACAATCTTGACAAAATCTTTCCTACTTTAATTTGATAGTAGGCTGTGACTTACTAGTATAAGATCACAATATTAAAGATAAGAAACAATGGACTAGTAAAATGCAGGAAGCAAATATGTCGGTAACTCACGTTACAGTAACTCGCGTTACATTTTGTCCGGAGGCCATTTTCACCCCTATGTAATAGATTAAATATCACAGGACCCCTTAGAATATGGAAATATATTCATCTTTTTCCATTTAGCGAAATTTTCAGGAAAAAATATTACAAGAATCCTGTGTAATCTGCAATAAATTGGGTTTTTTTCAGCTACAGTCCCACATGTACGTATTTGATGATAGTTTGAGATCTTAGGAAATCAACAAAAATGAAAAAAAAATTGTATTGAATTTGAAAGGCCCTAATGTTTTATGAACATCCATGGCATAAGGTTAGTGATAAATCAAAGAATTAACATAAGAGGTACATTTCTTTTTTTGATGTCATGTCCTTCTTCTCATGGAATGGCCCAAAAGATAAAAATTGATTGTCAAAACTTTTAAGGATTTTTTGCTTCATAAACATATTCAGGGGTTTTCGGCAACCACTCATCTAAACAAAATGAGAATTAACAAAAAATTACACCAGAAAGGGATAATGGGGTAAATTTGTTTGTGAAAATTAAGTTAATGGGATTCTCCAAATAAAACGAATGTATGCTAAAACAGTAGGCCTTGTTCATCATTAGTTTTCCTTGCTTATTTGCAATCTAATACTCTTCCAAATTATTCATTTCATTTTATTGGAGAACGGAGATCAGACGATTGCTACTGTACATGAACTGGTACTTCTTTCATGCCATTTGTGCAACTGTGGCATTGATATCTTCAGTCCTACATGAACATCAAGATTACAATCATTATTGGGCAAATCTGACCCATTTGCCCATGTTTTTCATTCCCATAGCAGAAAAGTGAGGGAATTATACTATCAAGTCTAATTTACATAAAATTACCGGTATGCAAAACTTATACAATTGAACTTGCAAATGGGCCAGACTTTCCGTTTAAGCCTTCGTTCGGATAGGTAGCGGTAATCCACATATCCCCCCCCCCCCCCATTTTTATCATGACCCAAAGTAGAAGTTTTACATTTCCGTATTTCATGACACAGAACAGGTGTAAGTGAAAATTACTGGATACACTGTGTAGGACCTTTGTTGCACGCAATTATTATTAACAATTTAATAAATTATGTATTATCGTCTTTAACTCACAGTTAACAATGTCATATCTCAATTTGAACAGATCGTTGTTAAAGTTGTGGATTTCATGATCATAAAGTGCAAATCTATTTTTCATTACATTGATGCATTTTTTTTTAATGAGAAATTTGTTTGATTTGTGTAAGACGAGTGAAAATTAAAAACTTCTCACCAATTGTTGTGCATATTTGAAGTCCTTTTTTCCTTTCCTGCCTCCATCAACATAGAAATCTGTCAAGAATCCTTTGCATTTTTCTAAAGTTACATGGGGAAATGGGGAAAAAGAAGGCATTCATTAATTCAACAGGTTATGAACTCAATCCCAGACAAGTCACAAGAACACAACCCCACACAAATAAAACAATAATTGAAAAAGGACGAAAGTTGTAACATGTCATTGACATTAGCCCCATCCGCCAGAGTCAGATATTTGAACTGAACTTGTACTTGTACTTGTAGCGCCCATCACTGAAGATGAAACAAAATGAAACATGCCTAACACATGTTAAAATATCTAGATCTAGACCTAACTTAGATCTATATTAACAATAACAGGTAGACTAAGGAACACGAACATAGCTTCTTGCAACATGTCAAAATGTCAAGTGAAATCCTCGTACTTGTCTAGATCTTTCCTCATTTGATCTAATTCAAGTCAATTCTTCTCACTGGCACTGCACTGTGCTAATAATAATAGCCAATAATACAGACTAGGATCAGAGTTTGACAAAGCCAAAGCCAAAGGCAAATAGGTATGGAGCCGGACATGGAAAATTCTTGACATGTCTGACTTCAGTGACTTGTTTAGACTTTGGAAATTTGGACAGAAAAAAAAGAAGAAAAACAAATTTATTTTCTGCAACTGCAAGTCTGAAGTCGATCAGTCGTTAATCAGACAAAATATAATCAACAGTTTACAAACAAACGAATAGCACGTAAACGGCCTCTGATGTCAAACATTAATAGCTACTTTTTTTCTTTTTACTTTTTTTAAATGCTGCACTTCCAGTGCAACAGTGCATGTCATGATGTGCAGCGCTTGTAGCGCGGAGTTGTCCGGACCCACCACGGCAGCACTTGGCTGTCTATTGAAACTGCGTACGTTATCCCTTTAAAATTTAAATGCCCTTCACATTCACTATCGTACAGACTTGGCTCACCAAAAACAAGGGTAAAAAATCGTCTAAAAAGACACACTTACCCTTTTCTGCAATGTAATCTTTGGCTGACATGATGACAACTTGTGTATTTACCCCTTTTTAAAGTAAAACTTCAAAATATACGGTAAAATTAGCGAAATATTACGTGTAAACAGACAGAGACTCGGTCTTTTGTGTATAATCGTACCGACGAACCTGGCGCGAAATATATCACGTGATACATCAGCAGCGCGAGTTAACTAGTCTTGTCTCAGCTCAGTAATTTTTATCTAAAAATATAAAGAAAGAATTTTACCCAAATTCGAAACAAAAATGATATCTTTTTTCTGACAAAATTATATATATAAATATAATGAGCACTAAAATTAGATTTGTATTGTAGTATGTGACAAAGAATATTGCTTTTTTAATTTTCATTCAGTATAAAAATGCATCGTATGCGTTGAAAAAGGTTACGGGATTCTACCTACTATACTACATTGTACTTTGAATTGTGCATTTTGCTGCACCTGTTTGAAATAAGAGCACTCTGCGCAAACGGTAACGTTTTTATAGGAAAAATTTATTCTCTGCACTATTCGAAAAGAAAGGGAGAGGTAATTATTTTTAGCACAGTACGCTGGAGATGAGAAGTGGAAAAGGTTTTTTAGAATGTAGAGAAAAAAGGGAGGGAAAAGTAAGAAGTTAAAGTAAGAATAGAAAACAAGAAAAGAAATGAACAAAGAGAAATTAAAAGAAGAGAACAGAAAACATAAGCAAAGAGAAGAAAAGAAAAATAAAAGAAGGTAAAGAAGAAAACAAAACAAAAGCCCTGCATGGACCATTAATCAGGTCATCAAGTCAGCTTTTCTAATTATATTTGTGTTTTCTTTATCATATAATCATGTCTCGATCTGTTCTTTTATTCCTCAAGTGTCGATTAAGTGATGCACCAACAAAATAAACCCTCAGCATCTTGGTTGGGCGTCAAGTGAATAGACCACAAGTCTAGACCACACGACATGCATAGATAGAGATGAATTGCATGCATGTACATGTATATCCACGGATATTGTCCACCAGAGTATATAGCCCTTTGAAGTAACTAAAATCACTGTGCAATGATTAAAGGCAATGTACAACTGTAATTCGGATTATTATGTTCATACTGATATACCTAGTGAATGGGGGGGGGGGGGGGGGGGGCAAAACAAGACCAAGTGAAATTAATTGGGATTTTAAATTCAGATTAGTTTGGGGTTAATCCAGCCAAGAACCTCACATGAAGTATAAGGGGGGGGGGGCAGAGGCGGCCCTCCCGGGGGGCAGGGGAGGCACAGTTTTTCAGATACCCCAAAAGTGCCCCTTTTTACATAGGAAAGTGCCCCTTTTACTTAGGAAAGGTGCCCCTTTTACTTTGACAAGTGCCCCTATTACTTAGTAAAAGTGCCCCTTCCCCCTTTTCACCTCTGACAAGTGCCCTTTTTACTTTTGGCACGTGGTCCTTTTCCTTCGACATGTTCCCATTTTTCCTTGGCAATAAGTGTCCATTTTCCATTCTCGTAATCTTGAAATTATCTTGAATAAGTGCCCTTTTTAATCTCTAGTAAGTGCCTCTTTTCAGGTACGAAAAGTGCCCCTTTTCACTTATAATAAGTGCCCCCTTCACCTCTGATAATTGTCTTATTCAAAACTGAGAGGTGCTCCTTTTACTTTGACAGCTTCCCCTTTTTTCCTTTGTAAGAAGTGCCCCTTCTCCTTTTAATAACTACCCCTTTTTTAAACTCGGATGAGCACACCTTACATTTTAACATGTGCCCCTCTTATTTTCTAATAAGTGCCCCTTTTCCTTATGATAAATGCCCCCATTAAAAAGAGAGAGCTCCTTCCCCTTCTCATAACTACCCCTTTCCCTTTCTAATAAGTGCCCCTTTTTCTTATGATAAGTGCCCCCATTAAAAAGAAAGAGCTCCTTCCCCTTCTCATAACTGCCCCTTTTAAAAATCTGAACGGTGCCCCCTTTTCATTCAACAAATGCACATTTTCCTTTATTATAAGTGCCCCTTTTACATTTCCATAAGTGCCCCTTTTCATATCTGGTCAGTGTCCCTTTTCAACTCTGATAATTCCCCTTTTAATAATGATACGTGCCCCTTTTCCTTTCTAATAAGGGACCTATCCCCTTTTCACCTCTTATAAATGCCCCTATCAAAATCTGACGGGTGCCCCTTTTCCGTCAACAAATGCCTATTTCCCATTTTCGTAAACGCCTCTTTTTCATCACTGGTGAGTGCCTCTTTTCAGGTGAAAAAAATGCCTCATTTTCACCTCTTATAATTATCCTTTGTACTTTGACACGTGCTCCTTTTCTTTTCTAATAAGTGTCTTATCCCTTTCGATAATTGTCCCCTTTTCATGTAATCATTAAACGTGCTCCTTATTTAAAGCGACTAAGAGCAATTTCCCCCAAAGTTCGCTTACTGCGCTCGCTCGCATTTAAAGATGATATAATTATGTTACTTATCAATTAAAGGTCTTTTCAGTCTTCCTCAATGAGAATGTGCTTATAACCCCATCACGATTGGCTTTTTTCCTCCTTATAAGATGTAATTTTTCGCACTGCGACCTCACAGATCTTTAAAAATTTTCTCGCTCGCTTCGTTCGCTCGTAAATGCATAGTCAGACATCACACCCAACTGTAAAGTATGATGCTTAAGCGATATCTTGTATGATGTATGAAGAGAAACAAATATTGAAATCATCCCTGATAATGTAATCACAATGTAGGGGTATATACCAATGTCTAAAAAATTGTATATTTTCGCTTTGAGATTTCCCACCGTAGGTGCCCTTTTTTTCAAGAAAGTTTTTTTTGGTGACCCCCCCCCCCCCCCACTTTGGAAGTCGCTCGGCCGCCCCTGGGGGGGGGGGGGCTGTCTTTGAAGCGGACTGACGATCTACATGTAACTAGTACGTCTATATACATTTCAAGTTTAATACGGCAGCAGACGAATGGAGATAGAGGATAATTAAATCCAACCTGAATAACCGAATTATAGTTGACTCTTTCGAATTAGAAGAGCATATATAATAGAGACCACATTAATGCAAAGTGGGGCTTTTTATAGTTGTACGGAAAGGTTTTGGAAGTACACTATTAGCAAACAGCGGCGTAAGTCTCCAAGCCTCCCATTTCACGGCTACAATTTTATCAAGATAAGCATGGGGATACATAAGTGCCCCATTAATAGATTGGTAGAAAATTAAACTATAGAAAATGTAAAAATAGATATATATTAACATATACAGAGGGGGAGAGGGAAAAAAGAGAGAGAGAAGGGGAGAGAGCGAGAAGAGAGAGAGAGAGAGAGAGAGAGAGAGAGAGAGAGAGAGAGAGAGAGTAAAGAGATGATGATTGCACTTCTTTCCTCATCCCGAGCCACCAAATTCGCTACGGTGCCGCCCCCATTATGACATCAGTTACCCACCAAGCAGGCTAGCTACGCCACTGCATACACATTTTCGTTTTGTATTTTAAACCGAGGGCAATGGTGTGAAATTTGATTTAAAAAATATTTTTCATTTATTCATTCACCCTGGGAACCCTCATCAGCATCCATGCTGGTATTGTTGAGGGGCTTAACATGCATTATGGTCAGTATGATGCCCCAGGTAATTGCCAGTTACCAATTTACACCTGGGTGGAGAGTGGCAGATGTGGATTCATGTCTGCTCATAAAGGACGACGATGCCGGTCTAGGATTCGAATCCCCAATTCTTGGATTGTGAGACAAGTTAGTCAACGACTAAACAACGACACCCCTCCAATCTAAAATAGAATATAAAGATTATGATGAGGGGCAGATACATATTATATGGTGGCCCTGAAGGGACATCGCGAATAGACTAAATCGCGAAAAATTGGCGATAAAATTCACGATATCGTCAATTTTATCGCCAATTGTTCACGACGAAATTCACGAAATTCACGATATCGTCAATTTCGTCGTGAAAAATTGGCGATAAAATTCACGATATCGTGAACTTTATCGTGAAAAGTTCACGATAAAGTTCACGATATCGTCAATTTCGTGAATTTCGTCGTGAAAAATTGGCGATAAAATTGACGATATCGTGAATTTTATCGCCAATTTTTCGCGATTTAGTCTATTCGCGATGTCCCTTCAGGGCCACCATAGATACATCATCATCATTCTCAGCTCTCCTCTTTGTTATTTGACACACATGCGGTGACTTGGGTGAGCCTCAGACGTATTTCATCTAAACGAAACACCATCGCCTTTAATAATGCTACACTCTTATTGCTCTCTCGCTCATAATCAAACGCCAAATATCAGTGGGTTAGCAATGACAACATTCATTTCTCGTACAGCCATCGCCAGCGGGGTTTCGTGCTAAAATAAAAACATTGTAAGCCTCGCCTTGATCCAAGCCTCCCGTTTTTGGCTACAATATTACATTTTCAAGATAGGTGACGGGGGAAAGTAGAGCAACCGAGAGGTGCTCATTTCCGCCCTACCATCCGTCAACCCAACCTTAAACCATCGATTGTCCCCATATAGGGGCGTCGTTTGAAGAAAAAAAATATGGGGGGGGGGCTGTCTTTGCCTTCAAGGTAGCCAAAATATTTCTAACATCGATAGGGGTCACTGACATTTTTATAATTTATCGACGAGAAGAAGGTAGAAGTAAATATAATTTTGCTCATAACTAAGATTTCACGAAATAAAGTTCAAGGGGGGGGGGGGATTCAAATCTTCCCCTTTATCGAAGTAACAACTGGGCACCAACACTAATTATATGTCTATCATTGCAATAGGGGAACATGATTTTCTTTAATGGGGGAAGGCACAAATTTTACCAGGTCACTGACACTTTCGAATTATCAAGCCAATAGATTGAGGGGGGGGGGGGAATGGGCCCTTTCATCTTATTTGGCATTCCCTTTTCATCCGTTATCTTCCTTTCTATGTCGTTTCGCATTTTACCCCCCCCCCCCCCCCACTTCCTCATTTTTCGATGAGGGGTAGGGGCGGTTACTCTCGTACCTGTCCCAGTGATTATCTCGACGATTTAGAAGTTCTCTAACGATTCAACTCTCATTTTACCCACTTCGAACAACGCCCTAATTTTCACAGAGCCTTATAATAATGAGCCAATCCAATCTGCTTGGTCTTATGAATGCTTTAGTTTGTTAGCCTACTTGCTTGCTAATTGG